TTATGTCCAATATATTGGACCCACACACTAAGGCTGTGTTTGGGTGACACTCCAAACCATGGTTTGGGTCCCCAAACACCCACCCAAAAACCAAAACCATGGTTTTGGAAAAAGCAAAATTTTTTTGCTTTTAGAGAAAAAAGGGAAAGTATGAGAACCTAGAGGATATGTATCTTATTATTTTTTTTATAAACATATTTTTTTATAAACATATTTAATCTTATATTTTATAAATATATATACATATTAATTATATTATCTTATGTATTATTAATTATGTTAATAAAAAATATATTATTAACAATTTTATTCCTTCAAATTAAAATATATCATAAAATCTATTTTTTATGTAATTATCATATTAACTTATGTCTTTTTTTTAGTAATTTGTATATATAAAAAGTGCTTTTGATAACAACTATCCAAACACTCTCACTTCTCAAAATCACTTTTTCATAAAATCTATTCTCCAGAATCACTTTTTCAAACCACGGTTTGATTTCATCCAAACACACACTAATTAATTCGTGAAATATCTAGATACGATCCTTATATGTGGTGGATTGGATGTTCATTTCCAGGGTGGTAGTTGCTGCACAGCTGCATGTGAGCTTTATTGCTCTGATTTGATTGATTTCCGTCCAAAACAAACCTCTTCAAGAGTATGAATTTATAGTTGATCAAACTTATTAAATACTTATATTGAAGGATTTTGGGACTTGGAATCCGACAAGTAATCTGATATGTCTATCCGATATAAAATCACCATACGAATCTGCATGATTGTACAACAAATACACCAGAAGAAAAAGAAGGCTGGTAAAGTTACACGGGAATCGTACAGCAAATACACCAGAAAAAAGAGAAAGCTAGTAAAGTTACATGGGAATTACTTTTTTCGGTGTATTCCCAGAATTAACTCCCTTAATTGTGTTATTGCGTTTTCACTTATGAGTGGTTACTCTAATTTAAATTTCCAATCATAAAGGTAAAACTTTTTGTTTGGACCCATGTTTTTTCCCTTATTCACATGGTAGCTTCATTTATATTGAACCTAAGTCCTAAACCGCTGAGTATAACTCAACAACTATGAAAATATGCCAATGGAGTTGGATTTAGTAGAAATGGATTGTCTATAAATTAGGGTTTGAATTCATGTTAGGAGAAATACTTATATTTAGTACCCGACAATAACCTGAATAAGATTATCTTCCATAAGAGGATATTTGTGCCTAACAAAAAAAATAAAAAATACAAGATACAACCGAAGATATATATACTTTTTTTTTTTTTTTATTCTCAACAACTACCATAATATATCCACACTCACACTTGCATGGAATTAAGCTCGGCGTTTAGCATCGTTGCGATCGCATACCACTAGCAAAATATTTACAAACAAGTGGCAGTAAAATAAATGGTAATTTTTCTAGGCCTTTCGAAATTTAATGCTATATGTATTAATTTAATTCAACTAATCTCGCTCTTGCCACTTTCTCAGTCGAGCAATTCCTAATTATGGTTTGGGGAGGAAAATGTGGTAATGTTTGAATATTTTATATGTAAATAAATGCCTAAAATTTTGGAAGCTAAAATGATCACCTAACAAAAACATAAGTTAATGTTCAACCGCGGCATGATTTATGGAAATACTGGAAATTTAGTGCAGAACCTTTGTGATAAAACTATGATTGGTCTTACTTCCCAATTTGACATTGAAAATTGAAATTTTGAATTATGATAAGAAGTCAAAAGTAAATTGAGAGAAGTTCAAAATTAAACCGACCCAAAATAAAAGCCAGACTCCAGTTGACTAAACCCAAAATCAAATTACTCCTCCGATCCTTAATATAGGACCCAATTGTTGAGTTAGTTTTGGTCCTAAATATAAGACCCATTTCTCATATTTATCAATTTTCTCTAAATTACCCCTATAGATACTTCCTCAACCATAATCAAGTAAAAGAGAAAAAGGAGGTATTAAAAAAGATAATTATGCTGTTTTAGGAAAAATGTGTCACATTTTTTATAATTAACTAACTTACCTAACTTCTTTAATCTAATCAAATTAGTTAAATGGGTCTTATATTAAGGACCGGAGGAGTATTATTTATGATATTCCAATACAATACATATCTCCGGCCGGCCCATAATCAATGAGTCCCTTTCATTAGTTATAATTTATAAACAATACCACTCAATAATCAAATTATTCCTCCTATCCTAAATATAAGATTTTTATTCAAGTATTTTTTTTTTAATTAAAACCCAAATTTTCTGGTTCATATTAAAAGCCAATTTAATAGTGAAAAAATGTACTAGAGTTATATCTGACATTTCATTTCTCTTCCTGTGGTTTTTATAACGAGCATAGTATCAAAATTAGTTTGCTTTATCTTCCCTTGCCTTCTTTACTGAAATTTCAACGCTTACATAATTTTTGTTAATAGAGGCAGACTCTCTCACTTTATGCGCGCAAACTCCCTTCTCTGTATTTATTACTCCTCTAGTTCTTAATATAAAACCTATTTAACTAATTTGATTAGTTTAGAAAAGTTAGGTAAGTTAGTTAATTATAAGAAAAGTGACAGATTTTTCCTAAAACACCATAATCATCTTTCTTAATACCCATCTCCTTTTTTTACTTGATTATGGTTGAGGGATTATCTATAGGGGTAATTTATAGAAAATTGATAAATATGTAAAATAAATCTTATATTTAGGACAAAAATCAACTCAAAAATTGAGTCCTATATGCAGGACCAGAAGAGTATTTACAAAAGAGAAGTTTAATCATTTAATCTAACTTAACTAAAAGGTTCGAATTTGAGATTTAGAAACGTGACAATGCAGGGGGAGATCCCAACTTGGCTCTAGTCCAAATTAGTCTGGGTCCGTAGAGTTTGGCTTGTGACACTGGGTGCACAAAACAAAAACAAAAAAATTATAATAATTGAGTTATAGTGAAAAATATAAAAATTTATAGAAACTAGGTTGTATTGAATCAAAATTTAAAGATTGACTAATAACAAAATTAAAATTATAGGAACCATAAAATTAATTTTTTCTTTCATAAAATCTACAAAAGATTCATGTCATTTTAAAATTCCAAACATCATAGAAAATCTCGCACAGCGGCACTACGTGTAAAAAACGACCTTTTTCTTTATTCTTTATTTCATTTGCTTTAATTAGCAATACGTGAATTAAATCTCGATATTTTAATACTAAGAGAATCCATGTTCTGTGTAACACGGGTTCCGTTTCTTAATCAAAGAATAAATGTCAATTTCGTAAGCTTGGGGGGAAAAGAAAAAGAGTATGATAAAGAAGAGCGCTTCAGCCCTTCAAAATCTGGCGATGATCACATGTCGGGGTCGTAAATTATATAATATGCACCGTCCAATTTAAAATGCGGGCGATCTTTTTTTTCACGAGTTCCCTCCAACGATCCACTAAAGCTTGTCGTTTTATTTATCTTATTGAGATCAAATTGCGGGGCTCACAGGAAACACTGTGGAAGCGATGTCATTCTGCAATGGCCAGACTCCTTCTCTAAGACTGGCGCGTGCATGACACATAACATTATTGGCGACACTCGCGTGTCTAGAAACAGTTATAAACACCGGCAGCCGCGAGAGAAAACAGTTAAGTGTCCCCAGTTCATAAATATGTTGGAGAAATTTGCAAAATTGTTAAACTTTTATCAAAAAAGCTGTAAAATTAACATAAGAAGGGGTCAACAAATTGGGAACTAATTTTGATTAAATACATTTTAGAATGAAAACTTTAATGAATTATATCATCCATAAGTTATAAATAATGTATAAAACTAATTTGTATTAGTTTACTTAGTCATGGAAAAATAATTTACAATTATATTTATAATATAATTAATTAATATAAAATATGACATGCATAAGTCCATAAGATACTTAACTTAGTTTTTGTAGACTCAACATATGTTTATTGGTTGTCATGCGCTTAGAATATCATTCTTTTTTACTATTTTTCACAATTTTTTTTAAGCGTGAATTTTTTTAATTCAAATTAAAATAATTTTTATCACATAGATATTAATTAACCTTTGACTTAAAATAAGTGATTTTGGGCCGTATAAGATAAATGTGAAAAGTTTCATTTCGTAAAATATATAAGTGATTTTTTAAAGAGATGCCAAATAACCAGGATTATCTCCCACTCCTCTATTCTAATACTTCTAAAAAAATCTGATGGAAAACATACTTTTAAGTTTTGATGATCCGAAATAAAAATTTATTTATGCTACCGCGTCTTTAAAAATCTGACTAAATATTCACATTACGCAACAATGGATAGAATTTATTAGTACTATTTAAAATGTGAAAATATTTAACATAAATATCTTTAACATAGATCCTCAAGTGTAAGCTTGACCAAGACAGCACATAAAAGGTTTATTTAGAATAGTTTATAAGTAATTTTTTAATTATAATTTATGAAATACAAGATAAATATGTGAAAAAAATTTTATCTCAATTTACGTAAAACATACTAATAAGTGATTTTTAAAAGTTATAAAAAAGCCCAACAACTCATAATTACCAAAATTTAAAAATGAAGACCTTGTGTATAAAAAATTTCTACCAATATTGGGAAAGCAACGAGTCAAAAGTTTATACCATATATTTTTTGTTTCTCATATTTATTAATATATGTGAGATAAATTTTATCTCAATTTACAACTCGAATGTTTCCAGGTCAAAAAAATTCATAAATAATTTAACTTTTCTTTAATAAGCAAAATTTATGCTGTATTGCCTTTTTTTTTTTTCTCCCCTCAAAAAACATTCAAGTTATATTATTCATTTATTCGTTCAGGTCAAATTTGCATTATTAAATCTCGGGGGGTCCTAAAATGTCAATTTTCCAGTAAGTTCAATGTGCTTTATTGTCAAATTCGCAAAGGCGTTTCTTTCTTGCTTGAACCTCGCACAAAGTAGTCACTTTGTTCACACCTTTTGTACTACTGCCTCTTCACTCAGCACTTATTCTGCTAATCTGCTTCAGCTAGGGCTCCTCCTTTCTTCCTCTTCGCTGGTACAGAGAGTCTCTGAAACCCACATTTCAGTTCCTCTCTGAAAGGCAAACAATGGTAGAAGGACGAGGCTCCACTCTTGTGCACATTTTGGTGGTGGTTTTAAGCTTAGTCGCCTTCGGCTTTGCCATTGCTGCTGAGAGAAGGAGAAGCGTCGTGAGCTCCTTTTACCCTTTTTACCCATCTCTTGCGGTTCTCAACTTTTGAAATCTAATTGTCACATTTTTCCGTGAGCATATCTGGACTCTTACTTGAAAAGCTGCTATTTTTACTTTTACTTTTTGTACATTGTTCGGAATATCAGGGGTTTTAAGTTCGTAGCCAGAGATCTATATGTTCGATTGTGATTTCTTGGGACAGTTTTAGCTTTTTGCTAAGGTTTATGTGTTAAGCGATAATTTACGTGTCTCGAATGAAAGGGTTCCTTGCCTGCTAATTGCTGAGAAGAGCAGACGAGTGTGCGTTGTCTTCTACTTGTGTTTCTGCAAATTTCTGCTTCTGTGGATGATTGCTTTTTCTGTGTTGAGCGGTGAATTATCTCAAGGAAACAAAAGGGAATTCTTCATCTATCAGTGGAAGCGCTGCGAAAGACCATGACATTGATTTAACCCTGCAAAAATTACTTTTTGAATGCAATAATGTTGCATAAATTACTTTTGAACGTCATATCTCTCCTTGTTGAGTAATAGCTCTGCTTTCTTTTAGATTTCTTTAAGTTTAGTCTGCTACGTAAGGTGCTTGATTCAGGAATGTAGAACGTCGAACACTGTGGCTCCGGTGGGGTTCTATTCCATATGCGCAAACTACTAAGCATGTCAATTCTTCCAGAGATCCTAAAATAGTAGACTTTTTAGAATGTTGAGCAGGGCCACTACTGATTACGAAGGCTTTTATCACTAGAGTGCTGGGAGATTGTGATTATGAGTGATTATGAGTTATATGAAAAATTGCTTGTCTTGTATTTTTTTTTTTTTTTGGTCAAACTTTTCTGGTGTTGAACTTTGTAAGAATGATTCATAATTGTATGCAAGTTTAATTCATTTCTGTAAGTTTTATCACTAGAAAGCCTGGAGATTATGACTGAGCGGCGCTTTGTAGTCAACTAAAGTTGTTAGTGCTGCCCTGTCAAATTCAATGTTGCATTAGTTGTTGACATTTTTTTTGTATTGGATAGTTATGGTTCTTTATTTCGCACTTTCTGTCGATAGGAAGTTTCATGTAAGATGAAAAAAACTTTGATATATGTAATGTCTGATCTTCTTTGATGAAATAAATTGATCTTCTTCCTAAACGTGGGAAGGTTGTATTCGTCCCAGTACATAGGATTTGGGGATAGAACAAATAGCTTCTAGATACATGTGCCTAGGGAAAATTGAATAGATAAGATCAGTCTTTCCTCCCCTTGTTTTACCATTAAATTCTTCTGTTTGCTTTCTGAAGAGTGACCTATTCCTGCTCTCCCTTTGCCTTATTCTGTTTACCTCTTTATTATGTCTGTATTTGTTATGAACATCTAACATTGTTGCTGGAAAAATGTGGTCTCATTAACTTCCCCATTTTACTGCTGAACTTATTGTAATGGGATAATAGTCTGGAATGTAGATCCCTTTTGGCACTACAAATCTTCGTATAGCTAATGTGTTATAAATCATTATTTTAGAGAAGATGAGATGCATGAGATTTTGATTTCAGTCCTTAGTTTTGTTATCCTGGGCTATTATCTTTTGGGAAGGTGTTATTTGAGGCTAACAACAGCTAATGGATTATTTCAATGCTTCATAGGCTAATGCTTTGTGAAGAACATTTGAAGTGGAAGATATAGAAGATAAGAGAAATATCTATTGAAGAATACATTTACAAGATACAGTAAAGATTTTTATGCTTTATTGGAATTATAAAGGCCAGGGGTCATAGTTTTCTTGATTGACTTGTTTAAGATTGGGGTGAAGGGGTAGTTTGTGGAACAGAAATGAGCCATCTCTTAGTGTATGCTAATCCTTCAAATCAAAGGTGTTGTTGACAAGCTTTATTATGTTTCAGTCTTTTATACTATTCCTTTCTCTTCCTTGACAGGGAACCATGTTTAGAGATGAAAGAACAAACGAAACATATTGCATCTACAATTCTGATGTTGCAACTGGATATGGTGTGGGTGCCTTCCTGTTTCTTCTTTCAGGTGAATCACTGCTTATGGGAGTGACTAAGTGCATGTGTTTTGGGAGGCCTCTAACGCCGGGGGGAAATCGAGCATGGTCCATTATATATTTTATGTTATCTTGGTAAGAATTCTGACTAAAACCATGGCATCTTCAATTTGCAGTTCTAAATAGACAAAAATCTCAATCCCGGCCCACTAGGTCACCAAAAGGAATTTCTTAATGTAAAAGGCAGACGGCATTTATTGAGATAATAAGTATGTGTCAAATTCCATAGTGCTCTCTCCAATAGAAAAATCAAAACTTTAAATACTCAAACGAAGATGAACTAAATTGATTACTTAGCTAAAGTTGAAATAGCATCTTTTTAAATTATTACGATTAGTTATAGAAAAGGGAAAACCATGAGTTATGTGGGTTGGTCCACTAAGCTGTGGATCAAATGGGTCTTGCTAACATGGTCCCAGAATTATGCAGGCTGACAAGATATAAATTGACCTGCCATTTTTATGGGTTAAACAAGCCTGTTTGGTGGGTTTGATCTGTTGAAATAATTCATTATGATGTCTACCACTTTGTTATTCTGATACAAATGATTATTGTAATTCCCATTTTGCCCCAGCATTAAAAGATTTGCTTGATTTTCTTTGTACGTCATTCCTCATCCATTTTGGTAGTGAAAATACCATGCAGTTGTGCAAACATAGCTATAATACCATTCTTTCAACAACCCTGTTCTGATTCTTGATGTCCCACTGTTATGTTTTATGTACTTGCAGGGTGACTTTCCTGGTTGCCGAAGCATGCTTGATAGCCGGTGCAAGTAAGAACGCCTATCACACAAAATACCGGGGAATGATTTATGCTCAAAACTTCTCCTGTGAATCTCTGAGGAAAGGTGTGTTCGTAGCTGGAGCAGTTTTTGTTGTTGCAACCATGATTCTTAACGTATACTACTACATGTACTTCAACAAGGCCACAACCACTCCCTCTTCTCACAAAGCAAACCGGGTAAGCTCAACAGTTGGAATGGCCGGATATGCATAAAATTGTCTGGTGATTATGGTACAAGGGACCCTAATTTTGAAGCTTCATGTCAATGATTGTGTTGTCTTTATTGTAACATAATCGCTTTCGGTTGGCTTTGCTTAGGCATCATGTTATGGTGTTCCTCATGGATGCTTCTCTATGTAGTAATAGTTTCTGACCCCGTGCCACACGGGTGTATTTAATCATATGATTGAGGCGCCGGAATACGATGAAAGAAACAGAAGTGCCGCAATGCAAGAAAAGGAAGTAATTCGAATATAAAAAACTGTCATCTTGTTATGTGTAATATAGTCAGGGTTAGATATCCTCAATATAAGAGGTTTTTTAATGCAAAGGCTAGTTGGAGGGTTAGATTTGGTTTTAAATATAAAAATTTAATTCAATTTTTTTGGGAAAAATATCCTTATTAATGATACATATTAAAAGGTTTCTATTAAGGAGAATTAGTAAAATGATATTTTAAGGAGGTTAATATATTTGTTATAAATAACTAATTTTTTAAGTATTTTTATGTTAGTTATCAAATTTTTATATTAATAATGAGGTACCATAAAATTGTGAAAATGGATTAGAGTGGTGACGGAACAGGCATAACGTTGTGCATGTCGGTAACATAAGAAAAGATGGGGTAATAGGAGGATTGGGGTTGTTGTTTGTTCGGCTAAAATGTTCCTAATAATTAGTTTATTGTTATTTTAAGAATAAGGCATAATGAACTCACTTTTAAAAAGAATGAAGATATCAATCTCACAAAAGTTTTTCGTCTAAGAATGAATCTAGAAGATTTCAAGCTCGTCAAAGAGAAATGTTTTGCACTACTCAAACAAGGCCTTATTGAACCAACAAAATCTGATTGGGTTTGCTAGGCATTCTATGTTGAAAAGAGATCAGAGATCAAAAAGGAAAAGAAAAGGTTAGTTATTGATTATTAACCTCTCAATATTTTCCTTCAAGATGACAAATTCTTTTTACCAAAACCCAGTTCACTTACGGTCCATCTTAGAGATGCCAAGATCTTTTCCAAGTTTGATCTTAAAGCGGGTTTTTGGCAATCGGGTATCCACCCAGAAGATCCGCTCAAAACTGCTTTTTGTATTCCAAATGCCCAATACCAATGGACTGTTATGCTACTTGGACTCAAAGTTGCCCCATCACTGTTTCAAAAAGTCATGACCAGAATTTTTGAACCCTTGCTTGACAACCTTTTCATTTATGCCGATGACTTTTTGCTTTTTTCAAAAGATGAAGATTCTCATAAACTTTATTAACCCAGTTCAGAAAAATAATTGAAAAATATGAAATTATGTTATCGGCAAAGAAATGAGAGATAGGTGTCAGGAATATAGAATTTCTCAGAATGAATTTTAAAAATAGTCAGTATTATCCTGGACCACATATTGCAGAAGAATTACTCTATTTTCCAGACGAGAATATAACAGCAAAGCAAATTCAGCAATTTTTGGGAATTGTCAATTAACTTAGAGATTTTATCCCTCATGTGTCCACTCACACCAACCAGCTGTCCAAACTTCTTAAAAAAATCCACCCCCATGGGGGATAGATCTTTAAAGGAGGTGGATGCTGTGTAATTCTTTTAAGAGTTTTGACAACTAAAGTCTGCTCTATCCCCCATGAGGGAAGATTTTCTTTTTTAGAAGCTTGGACAGCTGGCTGGCGTGATTGGACACATGAGGGATAAAATCCCTAAGATAATTGACAATTCCCAAAAATTGCTGAATTTGCTTTGCTGTTAGATTCTCGTCTGGAAACTTGAGCAATTCTTCTGCAATACGTGGTCTAGGATAATATTGACCATTTTCAAAATTCATTCCGAGAAATTCTATGCTCCTGACACCTGTCTCTCCTTTCTTTGCTGACAATATAATCCCATATTTTTCAATTATTTTCCCGAATTGGGTTAATAAAAGTTTATGGGAATCTTCATCTTTTAAGAAAAGTAAAAGGTCATTGATATAAATGAGAAGGTTGTCAAGCAAGGGTTCAAAAATCCTGGTCATGGCTTTTTGAAACAGTGATGGGGCAACTTTGAGCCCAAGTAGCATAACAGTCCATTGGTATTGGGCATTTGGAATACAAAAAGCAGTTTTGAGCCGATCTTCTAGGTGGATACCCGATTGCCAAAAACCCGCTTTAAGATCAAACTTGAAAAAGATCTTGGCATCTCTAAGATAGACCGTAAGTGAACTGGGCTTTGGTAAAGGGAATTTGTCATCTTGAAAAAAAATATTGGGAGGGTTATAATCAATAACTAACCTTTTCTTTCCTCTTTTGATCTCTGATCTCTTTTCAATATAGAATGACCGGCAAGCCCAATCAGATTTTGTTAGTTCAATAAGGCCTTGTTTAAGTAGTGCAGAACATTCTTTTTTGGCGAGCTTGAGATCTTCTGGATTCATTACTGGATGAGAAGCTTTTGTGGAATTGATATCTTCATTCTTCTTGAAAGGGAATTTTATGAAAAACTCTTGATTTTTTCATAATGAAAATGGATGAGAAAATTGTTGATGACTATCAGTACAAGACTTTAAAAGATGACCCCGAATGCTTTCATATCCTGATAGTGCTTGTTGGATTTCGAATAAATTAGGAATTTCAGTATATACACTAAAGAAATTTTTATATCTAATTCCTCTAGACAATACCTGAATATTCTTAGTATGTGAATAAGCATCAAAACTAATAAGTATATCTTTTCGAGGGAGATCACTTCCAAAAACTTTCATCTATAGAATACATCTTGGAAAGAATAAAAAATGTGTTAGACCATCTTAGATTTAGTTTAACTTCCAAAAACCCAAACTTCTGAAGATGCCTAACTTGATAGACTGTTAATAAAATAAGTTGACAGAAGGTTAACTATCGACATCTACATAACTTTTCAAAAGAAGTACATGAACATAATTTTGAAACACAACAAAAAGTTAATTAAACAAAAGATTATATACAATGGAGCCTAATTTGTAATTATACTTTTTAATGTCAAAGTGGATGTCTGCTCCTGACGTGCGTGTACACAGAGAGAGAGAGAGCACAGTACCATCATTAGTATACTATCAGCATGACAAACAAAATATTAATATACAATATACGACACTTCTTTCTTTCCTCCTCCTCCTCCTGGCTAACGAGATACGACACACGTAATAACACACTGCTTTTCACTTTTTTGGGTCTCTGTTGGCTGAATTTATTTCAGCTCCTATTGGTTTAGGAGGCACAAAACAAACTGCTCTCATGTAATCATAATAGATTAATTAAGAAAAAAGAATTGATTAAAACTTAAAAACATGAAATGGGTTATTAATTCAATCCATTCAACTTTAAATAGCTTATACATATCTAAGATTTTTTATGGCTGAATAACCCAAATTTATACATGTATATGCTCTCTCCATATGCATCTGGAGAATTTTTCTTATAAATTTGTAAAAAAAAAATTGAGATAAAATCGTAGTTTTTACACTCATGAACAGCATAACTCTGTTTCGTATTAATACTAATTGACAATATTAATATTAGGGATGCACATAAGCAGGATTGGGCAGCACAGGATCCCTGCCCGATGCCCAGCCCGAAATATGAGCAGGCTGCATTTCGCAGCCCGCTCCTCAGCCCTACCCATAGAAGCTCTACCCATTTTGGACTGAGCATGAATGGGCTGAGCAAGGCAGGTTTTGCTGATCAAATGGTAATGGCCTGCCGATATCACATGCAGAAAAACTTTCGTTCGTACCTGAAAATTATATTTCATAATTTTACATTTTCACACATTGAAATTATCCAGAAATAATTTAAAACAAGTCTTAGCAAATATCCAAATAAAGAATATTCATAATCCATTTAGAACAAAACAACTCAAGATTATAATTAAAGCCTTGAAATTCAAATGGTTTGCATCAATCTCCAGAAAGTTGAGAAAAGAATAAAACATCTGAAAAAATTGAAGAGGGGCTGAAGCACATTGAGATATTCCATTGAGGGTCGAAGATGGCGATGTAATAGAAGTTTGATTATCCATTCAAGTGGCAAAAAGTAAATGTTACATAAAGGATTACAAAAGGATATTAAAACTGAAACAATGGGCTAACAAGAATAATATAGACCATATAAAAATAGGGTGAAAATAATTGTAAAAAGAAAAATAAAAAATCTTAAAATCTTATAATAATTTAATATACCACTTTTAATATGTAAACACTTATTATGCAATACAATGTAGTTAGCAATTCATATAACTAAAAGACTTCTTTCCATCATATGACTTGTTCATAAAAAATTAATACAAAATAACTAAATATAAATTAAATAAAAAATAAAACATGTAATTTAGATAATTAAACCCAAATTTTCTTTCCCTACTCTTATCCCGATCTTGCTTTCTATTTTGAATAAATATTCAAAATTGTTGATTTATACAAATATGTAATATATGAACTCCATTCTCTAACAAAGAAAATTGTTAATGACATAGAAGGAAAGACTGATTTATAAATAGCCAACATTATAATAGCAACACACAATAGGAAATACCCAATAAAGCTCACGAAGAACAAATTAAAAGCAAGATACTATTGCTTCTTTAGAAAAATTAGATTTCCTAAAATGGAAACTAATAGACATGTAACAATAATAAATTAAATTGCAAAGATAAGGGAGACAACTTTTTTTTTTGGTGAAGAAATGTAATATATTAATATTATTTCATAAATTATAATACATATATATATAATCTGGGCAATGCCAAATGGACAAGATAGCATGTCCAGCCCTATACCCAGCCCTGCCTATGAAATGCGCAGTCCAAAGATGCCCATTCTTTTTTGAGCTCTTTTTTTTTGGATTGGCTAAGCAATTTTTCTTTGGCCTTGGACGAGCCCAGCGGGTATTTGATATTCATGCACACCCCTAGTTAATATATTGATGGTTGATATGAATTTCTCAATGATATGTGCCCCTTTTCAGCGATTTTTTTTTTGTGCAGTGTCAACTTTTTAACAAGTAAAACTGGGGTGAATTAAATCCCATTTCAAGCAATATATTTCACATAACAATATTTGTAATACATACAAACAAATTGGGGTAACCAATTTATCTTGAACGAATTCTCACAACTTTTAAACTTGTATATTCTGTATTGATAATTATTGATGATATTGAATGATGAATGATAATCAATATTAAGAAGTACCCATACCAGCCATGTATCCATTTTCATGTGCTGCATAACTAAATGC